TTGTGTGTTACACTTATTCCAAATGCCTTCAATAATCGTGGTGTAATTTCTGATGTCTTTTATATATGGAAGGATGACCCTCTTTTTCTTATTTTTATACTTGATTTCGTTTCTGCTGATGAGCTGGATTGATATTTCTTAATAAATTTGCATGAGTAGTCGTTACTCTGGAGGATAGTTACTAGACACTTTTTTATTCTTTGGTGCTGCATGTGTGCTGTAGTGGGTTCCCGCCCTCTTGAATAAAGTTTGTACGCAGTTGATTTTATGAATAATTGGACTGTTTCTGAATTCGATCTGTATAGGTTGGCTTATTGATTTGAATGTCCATAACATTATCCCAGAATTGTATGAGAGATTTAATCGAATGGTTGAATGAATTCACTAAATATTTCAAAAATCTTGTCATTTCTCTGGACAAATTGTAGAACCAAGGACGGGCGTTTCGTCTTATTTGGGACTCGTCAGCTAGATGTACTTGAATCTTAGAGTTGATGTTCACTAAAGGACTCTAGCATTTAAAAATACCACATGTAAATCGTGAATATTAAATTAAGATTCAAAATTATCTTTCAAATATTATATAGAGAGATTTGACTAATTAAAGAATAAAAGACAAAAGGAATTTCACTAAATATAAGAACATTGACAAAAAATAACAAGTGAAAACAAAAGAAAAAAAGAGTCGATCAAGTTTCTTTCATTTTTGTTATTCTCGGTTATTTCACTTGTTATTTTTTCCTTCTATTCTGAATTCGGTTTAGAAACAAAACAACCTTTTCTCATTGTTTCCCTACATGTGTATGTGTATTATGTGTATAGGTATATATGAGTATGTGTGTGTGAGTGTCTCTTGCAAGAGACACTTACACACACATATACACATATAAGTATCCATGATGTCAAACCCTGAATATTGTCAATAAATAACTACTAACTTATAAATTTTTTTTAGAGAAAAACAACTTGAAACAATTACAATGTTTATTTAACACAGATCAGTCAGTAACAATGTAGAACATCGTACGTACGTACGTACATCAGTTCAAGTTGCCACACCACATTAGCATAGAGATGCAGTTGACGACCAAAATTTCGTGGTAGTACAGGTAGTAAGAGTATAAGCAGTAATCGGAAACATTAGGGCCTGAAGACGTTATTTAAAGAGTATAATCCAGTGAAATACATTTGGAAAGAGAAAAAAGAGACAAGGAGGATTCATGAGATTAGAATTTGGGAGAACACAAAGATTAGATGCACCTGCGCCATTGCAAACGATTTTGAGCCATGTCATTCAGGGTCTCTAACCATCGGTTGCTATCATCTCGCGGTCCCCAACCAGGTAGTCTACACCTACCAACATGACTCAGTTCACTTGTCAGTGACTTCATGGACTTGTACTATGTTTTGGTCTGGCCGCCCCCAGCTTTCTTCCAACCTACTCCTATACCACTGAACATCGCTTGTCGAGGCAGTCGGTCGTTGGGCATACGTAACACGTGTTCCAGCCATCTCAACTGATGAAGTTTCACTACTTCATCAATTGATTTGCCATCCTTACCTAGTACCCGTTTACTAACAACTGCATTGCTTACTCGATGGTCCCAGGATATACGAGCAATGTTTCGAAGACACCTATAATCGAATACTAGTAACCTACGAATATCCTCTACTCTTACTGGCCATGTTTCACTGTCATAAAGTAGGACGGGACGAACTGCTGCGGAGTAACCACGTCTTTTGGTTGGAAGACGGATATCTCGCTTACGCCATAAATGACGCAAGTTGGCAAAATCTGTTCCAGCCTTCTGTATCCGTGCTGAGATTTCGTCACACACCAGACCACAAGGGCTGATGGTACTTCCAAGATAAGTGAAGCGTTCGACACGCTCAACTACCTCACTCCCTATCATTAGTCCGGGTGTCGATGCAACCCAATCCTGAAGCGAAATTTTGCATTTCGAGAAGGAGAATCGCATCCCGAACATGCTTGCATGATATTATATGTATATCATAATTGAATTCATAAGTCAATTGAAGCTAGACTACCATGGAAAACGTGAAAGCACTGGATGGCCGTTTCGTCCTAGTATAAGATTCCTCAATAGTGCATATTACACAAGTTGAAATGATTTTTTGTTAAGTATCTCCATTATCTACTTTTATATCTCACAATCATAAAATAAATGTAATAGAATACTTGAGAAATATAAAACTCACACTCTTACATATACATTAAATTTATGTAAAATGTAATAAATTTTGGGTGGTTTGAAAAAGTAGGTTTGTTAATGCTTTGTATGTGGAGAGAAACGCTAATAAATAAGGACCCTGTTTATGTTATAAGAAGGGAATTAATTGAATCACTCATCAGTTGCAGTCTTAAACCTCAATGGGAATATACAAGCAAAACAATAGCAAGTGAATGTAAATTAATTCACCCCATTGCACAAGCAAGTGGTTATCAGGACTCAGTAGCCGACTGGATAACGCGATGGCGTTTGAAGCGAATGGTACTGGGTTCGAGTCTCAGAGTGAACGTCAACTCGGAGATGCAGGTACATCCAGCTGATGAGTCCCAAATAGGACGAAACGCGCGTCCTGGATTCCACTGCTAGCCACTATCCATGTTTGCTTAACTGAATCACTGTTTAAATTACACTTTGTAAGAGTATACTCACATACATACACACACATACTGTACTACTTGACTAACTTTCACGCCTTAACGCCTAACCAGATTTCATTTTTGGATAAATTATTGGTGAAAACAAAATGAAGTCATTTAGTATCATTCATTTTCTTGTATAAAATCTTAATCATTGTTTTGTTTTTGGATAACAGTCAATTCTCCTGTTTATATACTGAAGAAAATATCTACTTAGATAAATTTAAAGTACTTTTTCTTCATGAAACAAATTACAATTAAATGAAAGAAAGTCTGTTATATCTAGAACGTAGATTCTTGATATACCACGTATAACTTGAGCATTCGAACTCTAGAACCCTCCCGCATATAAGACAGAAGGCAAGTGAATAAGATACTATTCCAAACACTGTCAATTATGGTACAAAACTCCCAGATATTTATAGTTTTTAGTAACAATGAAATCATCATTGTAATCCTCCAATCCGCATACAAAGGGTTATTAGCATTTGTCCAGTAGGGAAGCTAGACGTAGGGAGTCTGGAATATTCTTCCAAAAGATGATTGGATGGAATATCTTCGGTTCTTTCTGAGCTTCTTAGGACTTCTTCGAGTTCACTCGGGGATCGTCGTTACAGTGTCATTTTCTCTTGGAGTTTTTTCCATCCATCTCTTTCTTCAACCGAATGAAACGCAAGGAATTTTTTGAAAAACTAACAACTGAAATCACGCTTCTTGAAAAAAATACGGGTGGAACTCTGTTCTTTTCTGTCCACAATTTTATTTAATACTGATCGTTAAATTGTTGTAGGAATACATTTACTTTTAAATAGAATGGAATCCAGAATGCATGTTTCATCCTATATGGAACCCATTAGATGGATATATCTGTATCCCAGTGTTGATATCCATATTAAAAACTTGAATCCTGCACCTCTCAATTCAAGTGTCAATGCATTATGCACTACATCACTAGGTTTGGATAGCAGCAAATTTATTCAACAGGTACGAAACGAACAAAGACTGATCAAAATTCAGTCCTAAATATTACCAATGGAATAACCAAAATCGTCTATTTGTCAAAATGACAGTTTTCTTAAAAGCATCTAGAAGTAGAGTGGGATATTCATTGTCTTGAATATTCATTTGTTAACCAAAAAATAAACCCATAATCACCTTATTTCCGTTAAATGTTTCAGCGCTGAACAGTTTTATTTACTGAATATCTATTCATAGGGTCAGTTGATTATCGATGTTGCCATCCAAAATTTATTCCTTTAGGATTCAGACGTTTCTCCTTGTAATCAATCTCGTGAATGTAACCACCCTAAACAGTTGACTAATTTCATAAAATCTATTTGACGTCTCATAAGCAATTCAATACATTAGATAGTTCAAGAATACTACATTTAAATTTTTCAAGTATAGTCAGTCTATATTACTTACAAATTGTCTACATCAATTGAGTAAACTTGAATGCTTTTTACAAATATGGTAGTTGAAATAAAATTGACAGAAAACCCTGTACCTACGTTTTGTGCTAGTTAAAGAAGAGTATCTGCCATCTCAGAGGAAATGATTTATTTATTTATTTATTTGAACACAAATATTGGTACAAAGGGAAACCGAATGCATACGCACCACACAAGTCACTTGATTTGTGTGTGGGTCATAATACTGCCCGGGTGCCCAAAGCAAAGCAAGTGGTTTTCTTAGAGGGGCCACTCCTCGAACCTTTGACCTACAGGTGTAATCCACGTGGTAGTGGAGCTGGTGACCAATAATTGGTTCGTAAATCATTTGTTCCCTGGAAATCCTGGAGCCCATGTGCACCATTGATTTGGAATGAGGATTTTCCAACTCCCCTAGGCAGATCCTCCGTGTCCACCAACCTGGTTTAAGCGCCAAACATTCGCTTACCGTCCTTTCAATTTCGTAAACAACACCGCTGCGAGAAGGTAGTGAGTAGGACTTCCCTGGTAGTGGCTGCATACGCATGACTACGTGAGAGCATTTGGAGGGTTTAAACCTGTTCCGTCCAGACGTTACCATTGAGAAATCCAGGCCATGAATAACCTCCTGCAGGACACTGATTGATCCCTGAGTATACAGTAAAATCGTGTTTGCCTAGACTTTAATGTAGACCGAATTTTATATTTTGAACTCTAAAGTATTCACTCATCTAAATGATTCAATGCTGTATGTACAAATGTTTAAATAGTTCAGGATTTCGATAACCATCTTTAAATTTTCCTTTGATCAACTAGAATTATTTCTAAATCACTAATTTTCTAATTAACGATTACTCTGTATTGCTGTTTTATTTTTCAGAGTCATTATCAACTATCAACTAATGAATACGTTTACATTACAAAAATTATCTTTTGTTATTTTAACAACTTTCTATTTATCACTACCATGGATCATATCCATAGTGAATACGTTGCCAACAACAAATAACAATGATCCAAATATTTTGTACCGTTTAACACCATCATCATCATCAGCAGCAGCAGGAGCAGCCGCATCATTATCACATCAAAATGGAGGTGGAGAAAGAATTTATCTGCCGGAAGAACTTCTTGCACAACTATCAAATGAACCATATATCAATTCATTGTATTTACCAAAACGTGCTGCTTACATGGATTTACCATGGGGTAAACGTGCTTTAGCTAAACGTGCAGCTTATATTGATTTACCATGGGGTTAATTGTGAAATTGATTTGACATTTATATCCAATTACATACATATATACTTTAATAATGCATACTAAAATATTCATTGAGAACAATCTATCCATCAGTCATTATAACTAATCATTGATAGACTAAAGGTGAAATGTGAGATTATTGGAAAATTAAAACTGTCGTTTTAAAAATCGATATTTCATAATTTGTTTGTTCTATGAAAACTTTATACTTTCAACAACAACAAAAAAGAATCTACTGAAACAATCTTTCCTAGTGTTCATTTTAAACAATGAATTAGTTCTTCAATCAAATAATTATTATATCCTTTATCTGCCTTTTTGTTCAAGAGTTCTGACATGGAATTAATATTTTTGGTTAATCAGAAAGGGGATTTTGTGGAGATTGTAGTCATTTAATAGTTGAATTCATGAGTTGAATAAAGCTAGATTACTATGGAAAACCTGGAAGCACTAAACGGCCGTGCTTACTAGTGACTGACTTCAAGAGGTAGTTCCTGAAGTTCTAGTGGGAAGCCGTGACCAGTGGAGTTTAACGAGGTCTGTTATGAGGCAGTTATTCACTGAAGACAATGGTGAACGGTGATACGATTTCGTGGATTGGTTGAAGTTAGACATTAACACCATTGGATGCCGGCCAGCTCAGTGGTCTAGAGGTTAAGCGTTCTTCAGTTTCCACTTATAATCGATCTGGAATAACTTCGTATATATTCTTAGGTTAATCTTTGATGTGGAAATACATGAAATTTCACTCTCGAAATTCAAAGACCATTTACAAAGTATACTAGAATCGATTTACTGTAAACATATTAAAGTCAACAGATCACAAATTTAGCAATCAGGTCACCTTATGGAGCGTCATTTAAACATGAATCCTAATGTATATATATATATCACTGACTGACTGTATTTACAACCAATAGAAGAATATATAAAAATGGATGATAAACACGTACATTGTCATCCGCATATAAGCTTATACATAGGTGTCTAGAAGTCTACGTTATAATAAAGTGTTTAGTGGGAATACACTGATATTTATTTATTTGTAACAGGATAGGTTGTATATGTACATAGTTCAAAGTGCTTCCTACATAGTCTCGGTAGAAGTACCTTAGTAATAACGTTCCAAGGTGTGAAGTCTGGTGACCTAGAATTAAATTCCACGAGGATCATCGGCTTCCTTAAGATTTAAGATAAACCTTATTGAAGTATATTAAGTAGCATAAAGCCTAGGTCCACAGTTTTCTAATGACTAATTTAAGCCATCGTACATGATTATGTTGATTCTAGATCAGATACTAACAGATTTTGGTCCTTTGGTAATGAAATACTCAAGTACACAATAAAATGAATTCATCGTAATAATTATTTCGTACTGAGGTTTGGTATAATCTGAGTAACACATAAATTATATATATGTATATATACTTCTGATCACATTGCGATGTAACACCACAACCGACAAAACTGATCATGATCAAATAACCGATATTGCCAACAGCTTCAATGCTGTAGTTATAATGACTTCAGTCAACTATTATTTGATTCTTTTCCAATTATTTCTTACGACTAAAAAGACAGCATATTTCCTGAGTAGTAGTTTTACATACCGAAATAGCAATCAAAATTACTGAAATATTCCTAAATTACCCTCATTTATTAGTAGTAACGTTGAGAACATCTTTAAAACAGTGCTTATGTAATAATATACCACTAGGAAATTCTTTTATTAGGTTGTATTTAAATTATATATGGTCGTTTTCTCGTACAGAAATCTTTAAATTTTCACAAACGAATCTGTAGATTCTATCTTTGTACTCACCAAAAGGAAGATACTTTTAGTTGTTATGGCGTTTTGACCTTATTTTCAGTTCTTTCCCAAAGTAGTCGATGTGCTTCAGAATATCTTCAGTCTATAACAAGTGTTAAATTCTCTGTTGAATCATTTCTGGATGAAAATCACCAATCAATTGAGGAAAGGCATACATAGTAACTGTTTGTTATAGGAGATAGGATATAACAGATTGTGCATTATCTTCTGTAGCTAATAAGTATTTGTCACGACTCCTTCTTCGATTGAATTAACTCAAACAGTAGAACATTTTGCTGGTTTTTGATACTTTTCAATGCTGAAAACAATCTCCAACTTGAAAAAAACTAATATATCTAGGGGTCCTATTGCCGTTCAAACAATAACGATTGAGTCCGATAATCTATCTCCTTAGCCAAGAAAAAAATTTTTAAGGTTTTTTTCAAAAATGTGAAACTAGATCAAGCATTTGAAACCACTTAAGGAGTAAATTCATTAATAGAATGAAAACAGTCTTTCAATTTGAATGACATTCAACCGAGTGAATACTGAAATACTATCGAGCTGGACAATCAAATCTTTCAAATCTTTCATACTTTCTGTGTTACTTTTCATAATACTACAGTTTTAATCCTTCAGCACTACTAATAGAAACTTTCAGTGATCATCGTTCTAAAATATAGTCCCATTATGTTGATAACTACTTACGTTGACGCTATTTAACTAAAATGGAATAAGGTTGAGGAAATAAATTCATAGGCAACTGTCTAATTATGGTTCATTTTGATGGTGGGAAATTGCAGTTTCACCATATTGTAAACCATCATAATTCCCGTATCTCGTTTATTGTCTCTTTTTTTGCTCGATTATTGCGCTATTTACTCAGTGCCTTTCTCGTTGACGTTAGTTATCGACCAAGCTAGTTGTTTTGCAGATCTCAGCAAGAGTTTATCAATATCCATAAACCAACATATATTCTTGTATTAGTATTTCCCCTTCAATTCATAATATATTATATATAAATTAATAGGATATATATTATTTTGATAATTTCTTGAAGTAATCGATCCGGGTTCTCAATCTGTCTTTGTGTTGGGGTTAAAAGTTCGTAGGCGCAATGAACTACAAATAAACATTATCCAGTTTCCTTTTTGGATTTACACCTGCAAACACACCATATGAATAGAGTTTAATTTATAAATTCTCAGTTAAATGAAATCAGTATTATGAATTATAATACGTCAATTTTATAATTGCGATGATATTTTGGAAAAAGATTGTTTCTGGAATTCGTCGGTCCTTATTTTTGTTTGCTTGTTATCTGACATAGAGTTGATAAGGTCCAGTATGAAGAGTGGCATTGTATGAAGAGTATGTTGAAAGCATCAATTTCTCTTCAAAATTTAGAGTTCGAGATGTGATCAATAGTTTTCTGCCTTTTTAAACTTCGGTTTTATTAAAAACCTAACTCAGTTTTCTGAAGCCATCTTCACATAACAAAAATCCGTGTAAAACTTTGTCCTTGTTAATCATTTTTAGGGTTCTATTTTACTTTGTCTTGCACCTGCAATTAGTAGTTTATTGATTATGGTTTTCTACTGTTGTTCAATCTTGTTACCTTTTAATATCAGATATTTTTAAGCGCTACCACTTTATTACACATTCTATAATGGAAGTATTAGAATTATTGTATTAATTAGAAATTCCCGAAACAATGCACTTGAAGCCAAATAGAACTAGGTGAGCATAAACGAGTATATTCTACTTAGAATTCGAATTCAGCCAGGAAACTAGTACAAAACAATCATTAGTTCATATAATCATCACATATTCTCTCTCACGTTATTCATTTGAGAGAACCTTTACCAGTAATGCTGTAGGCCCTCAGTGTTTCACGACGAATTATCAGAAAACACAAAGGAAAACCTTGGGTTTGTTATTTTATTTAGATATAAAATCAATCGTATATATTCGACCAACACTTCAGTATGATGTATAAGAGACACAAGAAGCTCATTTACTACGATCACTGTAGAATATTTTTTGACTAGCAATTTCTTCTAGTCCTGGTTTTACTGCATGCAAGCCGATGTTTAGAACAAACTGTTCTTAAAACAACTCATAATCATCCGTGTGATATAGTATTCGTTAAACAATCCTTGGTTATGGAGGCTTGGCCGTGATAAGTCGCAAGTACCAATACTTATGACTATGGTTGATTCCGACCCAAGAGAAGACTAAAAACCCTGTGATAGTCGTAAATATCATTGTTTAGGATTTGTGAAGGTTATGCCATTTTATATATAACTGTGTAAATTGTCGTTGCATAAAAAGTCCCTTATGTGTAGGGTCAGCTGTATGGAAGTAAATGTTACTTCGAAGAACTAAAATGGGGTTAATATAGCCTCAAAATTCCATACATTGAAACAAAAACACATCAATTTTGTCTAAGTACAACAGTTTTCACTATCAGCCTACCACGGCCGTATGTAATGTTATGCAGTCCTTCAATCTGAAAAAAAACCAGAATTATCTCGAAGGTAAAAAACGAAACTGACGAATTTACTTAAAAATTATTTATTGGACTACATTTACCCACATGACGGTCAAAGAGTGTTCGATGCAGTACGTGGCCTTAATATACAACGCATTATTAAGTCCACAAGTGTCTGCAGTGTGACAATCAGTCAAATGAGACTAACTCATTTAGCTTCTCAATTAATACCAGTTTTATCTTGAAATCCAACTTTAGAATGCTTCGGTATAGTGAAAAAATTAATACGATTCTCAGGTTACATATTTATGATAACCAGTAGATTATAACCAGATCGTGTTATACAGATAATATACTTTTTTCTACAACAATAATTTCAAAATTTTTAGACACAACTTTGTACTAACAGCTTTTAGTATCTCGTGCAGGTTTTAATCTTGTTTGCAGCGTACTCCTTCATAGCTACTTCAAAAGCTTACTTCCATAAGAGACTTAAGAATACAAATTTATGGTTAGTTACTGACTAGTTAAATGACACTAAGGTTGCTAGCCGTTTTGACCGCCGGCTAGATGCTTAGTTTACTTTATGCTCATCTTAACCTTCATAGGACCAGTCTTTTCGTTCCTTTCATTGCTACTGTAATTTTCTAAGTGTAGTCTACAGTTGAGTTTGGCATGAATATTGACCCACTACG